GAATTAGACCATAACTTCAAAGCCCAGCATCCGTACACACGGATAAGGTGGGAATACAGTTAGGTATGGCAATTAAAGAGCCGCCATCTGCTAAAGCATCACACTCTGAGTGGGACTTAACATGGTTATGGGTTTCTTTGAACGTGTTTTTTGTGTGTGTGTGTGTTTTTTTCCCACCATATGTGCTTAAAGGCTCTAAAAAGGAAATGGGAATGTGAAAAAGAATGGTGACATTCTGTAGTGTGTCAGTGAAATGAGAAGCTGATCAGACATCATCTATTTTGGGGGTTTTGTGGTATTTTATGGTTCCAGGCTCCTAGTTAGTGACAAAATGGTACTGCCAAGATGACTTACCACATGCGTGGGGTACAGAAGAGCCCCGTGGTAGGCGCTACTTCTAAAATTTACTTTTGGGTTTGCCCTGGACTAAGTTGACACACATATAGAAAATAGCCCTTTTTCTCCAAGGCCTAACAGAGATAGTATCTAATCCACTTGGTTGACCCATATTCTTCCTAATGGAAAGTAACCTCTCTGTTGTAGGTTTTCCTATCTTATTTTGTTTGCACCTCTGTGATACCACTCATCCCAGGATCTGTCTGTTAGCATCTCGCATTTCTATCTTTCTCTTCGCTAAGTTGTAGCTCCCTGAGGGCACAGGTCATGGCTTTTGCACCTTTGCATAATCCATGGGCCCCTAGCACAGTAACTTTACATTGGAGGTGCTCGCTATATGTTGCTGAATTAAAATAAAATTGTTTTAGGGAAACAATTTAGAATCATGACTTGAACATAAGATATCTCAGTTATTTGCAGAAATGACATGCTGTAGATCGATAACATAATGGACTACGTCCTTACATTAAATGCTCAAACAACAACAACAACAAAACAAGTCTGATAGGACCAAGAAAAAAATCCTCACTCTTTATGAAAGCCAGTGTGTGTGGTTTTGTTTAATTTGCATTGGGTAAATTCTGTGGAATCCAAATGTTTGAAATAAGGAAGGACAGTGCTTTTGGTTTTAGCGCTGGGATGAAGGGCGAAAGCCTTTTAGAATATTCATAGCTAGCCTAGCATAGGTATGTCAATAAATCATTGCCATAGCCTGTGGTAATTGGAGTTGTGTGTGTGTGTGTGTGTGTGTGTGTATAAACCTTTTTATAAGGAAATATTTATTTAAGAACTTCCTGACTGTAAAGAGAAATACAATGAATGTCGTGAAGCACCTATATATTATGATAAGCATGCTTGGAACAAGAAAAGTATTTTGTTTTCTAAATATTTAAACATGGCCCAACACATTGGGATTTTAAAATGCTATAGGAATACTGACAGAAACAAAGAAGGACTCTAGAGTAATATAGTAGATAATTCTCTTTAATTTAGAAGGGCGATGAAGGATGACATAATCAAAGAAACATTTGAGGAAGATGCATTTGTCAACAGTATCCAGGATAAGCCCAGGCAGGGTTGCTCTTGGAATGGTGGGGACCAGAGGGAAGCTGTAATAATAATCCAGATGTGAGGTGAGAGAGACACAGTGACAACAATTGGAAGAAATGTACAGGAAAAATTGGCTATAAAAGACACGTCAAAAGAAAAATCCCCATCACTTTGTGAATGTGATAGATAATTCTAAAATATTGAGTCTGACTTGAATGACCTGTCAATATCAGAAAGAGGGACATGAGGAAGGGCAGCTGGACCAAAGGGAAATATAAGAGTTTACTTTTGGACATGTTGAGTTCAATCATACACTGAGACACCCAGGTGGAAATTCTCTGGCTCCATCTCTGTCATTTTTTTTTTTTAACCATCGCGCCACTCGGCCGGCCCTCCATCTCTGTCATTTTAGAACATTGTTGTTCTCTGAGGGATATCAGATGCATGGAGGGTGGGGAGGATTTCAGCTCTGGAGACGGCAAAGAGACATTTAAGACAAGTGAAGAACAAGCTAAGTTTGAAAACGTTGAGGTCACAGCACAACCACAGCTGAGACATGCCACAGTGTCCTGGTTGGATATTTGATCTCACAGTGTGTTGACTTCCTGCCAGGCTAAATGCCCTCACGCAGTGACTGTATTCTGGCTTAGGCTTCTGCTTCTACTCATCTGGAAGTATGTAGGTTGTAGTCAGGCATTAAAACATGATGACTTTATAATTAAAAAATGTAGAAAACATTTCTTATGTTACAGGAGCCCAAAATATTGAAGCCTTCAAATTTGCGAGGTAGACATACAAATCAAAGAGTTATATCCTGACTGTAATGCCAATATGCCTGATCTAATCCTCTTGGTAAAGTTTAACTCATCCTTTGAGAACTAACTCAAAAGCTACTGTCTCTAAGTAGCTTGCCTGCCTCTCTCAAGCAGTTAGTTTTCTCATTTTCCATGTTCCCATCACACTTTGTTCTTATTTCTATGAGAGCACATTGAACAGTCTGTGTGTCTGTCTCTGGCCACAAGACGGGGAGCATTTTGAAGATGGGAACCATTTACTTATCTTTGTATTTCCTGCTCCCCTAACAGAGTGGGGGTTAGTGGGTGGCATTTTATTGTTGGAAATATCCAAAAGAGAAATTTTAAGAATGTGGATGGAGCAATGGGCCGTTGCCGTAGCAAAGCCTGTGTCCGCATCATATGTCACATCCCTGCTGATGGCGTTAATGCTGCACCAGCAGAGGCAGTGCGCTCATTACGTGCTGCTGGCCCATATTTGTAATGTGTGACATTTTTTATGAAATACTGTCAAGGGTAATCCATCATATAGCAAACTTTGGATTATATGCTGAGACTGGTCTTAAACAGAGACATAAATGAACTTCAAGGATAATGCTATTTTCTAAGCTGGGAAAATGAGGCAGATCATCATGTTCTTTTAAGTTCACCAGAAGCACCTGAAAAAAGAGGTTTCCTTGTGTCTTCTCCAGTTTGGGGACAGGTTTATTGTGTGAAGATAGGTGACTCTGAAGCATGGCAGAATATTTATTTCCTGCAGAACATCAGTGTTTGAAAAGGGAGTGAGGGCTTGCCAAGGCTCTGACCACCCCTAAGACTTGCAAGGTTTGTAATCGCTTTATCTCAAGAGGCAGTTTTTAAAAATAAAAGGACACATGACAACTTGAGTGAATTTCAGATGTCAACTGTAAGCTCCCAGTTAAAAAGGTATTCTCTGTGTATCCATAAAAATCTAGGATTTTACACATATTATTGGATACAAATAAAAGAAAGCTTCTAAGTCTCATCGTTTTTGTGTAAGTCCAGATAAGACTCCTTTGATGAGCTTAGCGTTTCCTTTTAAGGGGAAGCTTATAGGTGAGAGGAACACTCAAATTATAATTCTTTGTCTTCCTTAATTAGACTAGAGCTCACCATAGATCTTGCTGAAGCTGTGAGAAAATCCAAGCAATAATTCACATTGTCAGGTCAGCAGAAATTGGCATGGGGGTCTGCTATGACTGAAAGATTTGCTTAAGTGATCCATCTGTGAACAGAACAGCTCAGAGGAGGTACAAATCTTCATTGGAAACATACCTTCTGAAGATTCTGAGCACAATCAGCAATGAAAAGAAACCCGAGCAAGACTTTTGTATCACCTTTACAGATGCCATTCCAGAAGAAATATACAAATCTCATTAATACCAATTGATGCGGGACACTAATTAATAAGTTCAATTAAACTGTGGAGTAATGACATTTAGCATCTAATGAATGCCTCATAATCTCTTGATCATTAATATTTCACAGCATAAGAACATAAGGATTGGCATCCCTGGGCTCATGCAGCATGGTTTCCTGTCTCTGACATGGACCCCAAGGGCACTGAATGGCACAAGGGGACTGCACCACTGGTGTAAGAATATACAACACGAGCAATTAACTCTTTCATTACTCTGGGTCCTAACATGTCTTTATTTTAGAAAATGTGAATCTGCATGCCATTCTCAGAATGAACATCTGTGATTGCTGTGTCTCTTCTGCACAGAAGAGAGCTTGCGTGCTGACTTTGGTGTGTAGCCTTGCTTTGTTGTTGGTCTTCCCAGTCCATGCAAGAAACTTGCTCAGGAGAAAAATCATTACTTTGATTTATTCCTGGGTTTGTTTTTTTTTATTCAAAGGCAATAATCACTTCACAGAGCAGGTGCCATTGCAAAGGTTTATTGATCCCATGCTCTTCTAGAAATTCCAGGAGGCTGTCACTCTGGTGGGCGGTGGAGGTGGTCGAGGAAAAAGAAGTCCATCTCCGTGCAGGCTGAAGTGAAATCCGAGGAACACTCTGGCCATCGGTCTGTCGCTTCAGTGACCCTTGGTGTCCCTTCTTTCAGAAGAGGGTCTGGAGCAGAGGGAATGCTCTGAGGTTGCAATGGGCAAGTGAGAGGGAAAGAGGAGGAACACAGAAAGCTGCGGGAGAAAAGGGTCTTCAGCTCCAGGTCAAGATTTCAAGGAGTTAAATACTACGAAGCAGCCCAACCTGGATGGGATTTGCTTCTGGGTACAAAACGGGACACTGGTCAGAATCAAGTTGGACAAGTGACAAGACTGAGTCTGATGCTGGTGGATGTCTTTTAAGGTCACTGGAGGGGAGGGAACGGGAGGCAGTGTGCTCTGGGTGGAGAAAAGCATCGGGTCCAGGGCGGGGGGTATAAAGGGACGCGGGGCGGGGAAACAGAGGGACAAAGAGTGGGGGCGAAGGGGGAGAGGAAGAGTTGAAGGAAAGTCAGGGAAAAGTAGGGGCAGGGCTCGGGGAGAGAGGAGGATAAGGGTGAGGGCGGCGAGGAGGGATTAAAAGGGAAAGGGGGACCGCTGGAGAGAAGTGAGAACGGTTAGATGCGGAGGAGGGGAGACGGGCGCGCGGAGTGAGCCGAGGAGGCAGGAGGCGAGGCGGAGGGCCAGAAAGTGTTCTCGGCGCGGGGAGAGGCTTGGAGACCGGGGGCCGGGAGAGGGCGGGAGGGCAGCGGGAAGCAGAGAGAAGGACGGGGGAGAGGGCGCCGCCGGGGGGCAGGTGGGGGAGCGCGGAGCGGAGCCGAGGCCAAGTGCATTGTGTCTGGCGGCGGCGCGCGAGCCCACCGGCGGCGGCGGCGGGGCGGGGAGCCATGGAGCCGCGGGCGCTCATCACCGCGCTCAGCCTCGGCCTCAGCCTCTGCTCCCTGGGGCTGCTCGTCACGGCCATCTTCACCGACCACTGGTACGAGACCGACCCCCGGCGCCACAAGGAGAGCTGCGAGCGCAGCCGGTCGGGCGCCGACCCCCCGGACCAGAAGAACCGTCTGATGCCGCTGTCGCACCTGCCGCTGCGGGACTCGCCCCCGCTGAGGCGCCGGCTGCTCCCGGGCGGCCCCGGGCGCACCGACCCCGAGTCCTGGCGCTCGCTGCTGGGGCTCGGCGGGCTGGACGCCGAGTGCGGCCGGCCGCTCTTCGCCACCTACTCGGGCCTCTGGAGGAAGTGCTACTTCCTGGGCATCGACCGGGACATCGACACCCTCATTTTGAAAGGTGAGAGGCGGGCGCGCCCAGCGCCCTGGGCGCCCGCGCGTGGAGCACAGTCCGCGGCTCCCCGAGGGTCTCGCCGGTCCCCGCAGCCGCCACCTCCCCACCGCGTCCCCGCGCTCCGCTCCCAGGCACATTCTTTCATCCTTCCCCACCGCCTCCTTTCTTTATCCTTCGTTCCTCCTTCTCTCTCTCTCTCTCTCTCTCTCTCTCTCTCTCTCTCTCTCTCTCTCTCTCTCTTTCTTTCTTTCCACGACTCTCCTTTCCTTCTCTCCCTGTTCTTCCTGTCCCCCTTTCCTTTAAGTCTGTGCTTTAGCACCCCTCGCCCCACCCCCCCTTATCTGCTTCTTTCCTTCCTTTGCCTCCTTTCCCTCTCCTCTCGTCCTTCGCTGTCTGTACACCTGCCTGACTTGGAATGCATGTGTCGATTTTCTTGAAGCTGCTCCCCATGGGGGTAACGATCAAAAAGACCTGACCTTCCCCAGTCGGGCTCCTTCCCGCAAGTTGTGATTTCCTTTTTTAGAAATACCTATGGAAGAAAAGGGGGTGCAAACCTCCAAAGCGGGACGGGAAAGGGGCTTTTTCTTGTATTGAGCTGATGTTGGTAGCAGATGTGGTACTGATGTGGTAGCTGGCAGGCTAATGGGGAGCTAAGGAGGCCCGAGGAACCTTCCTGCAAGCTCCTAAGTGCAGGTTTCTTATGGATTAGACCTCAAATATACTATCCATGCATTGGCGGAGGAAGCTGGACTCAGATAAGACATCTACTTCTTTTCAATCTTCTGATGACTGGGCGCATTATCCTCAGTGTCTAGGTACACGAGGGTGAGGACAGGAGAGAACCTGCCCAAAGCCTTGAAAGTATAGCTTTCTGGATTTGCACATGGAATCTCTACAGAATCACTCTCTTTTATGTGTTTGTGATATCATGTCAGGCTGTTTTTGTTGTTTTGTTATTTGGCACTGAGTTGTAAAGCATCAATTTACTCTTATGAAATCTGTGCAACACCTGGTCCCCATGCATGTAATCAGAGTTTGATTTTTTTTTAATCTCATTCATGTAAAAATATTCATTGTGACAATCCTATTGGGGAAGCTTCCTTCTAATTTGCAGAGCTCCACCCTTAATAAAAAATCTTTTTCTCTGAGATGAAAAGAAAACCATCTTTCCCTTGGATTCATTATTGCAAAAAAAAAAAGGAAAAAGTCTGGAACCAGTACATTTTATTATTTGGTAGCCATTCAGGAAAGCAAACGAACAGACTTCTGTTCAAGTACAGTTTGGAATGGAATTACTTAGAAAGGAGGGGGTTAATAATATTTTGGCTTTCAGAGTCTTATTAGTTGGCATGGTCTTCATTGCTCAAACATGTCAACTTCCTCCTTCCCATGGCTAGCTCAGCTGGGGACTGCCATCTGAAACCTGTCTATGCATGGAAGAACTCCAAGCTTTGGGGGGGAATCAGATAGAGTAACTTTCCTTTGGGAAGTGCACATTTTCCTTTCCTTTCCTAACTTACATCCGAATCTGATTTCTCCTCATGAAGATGCTGCATAATTAATTCTGATAGTAACATAGTACAGGAATAAACCGTAAAAGCTGAATGTGGAGGCTTAGTTATGGAACGCTTATTTAGGCAAGGCAGTTTTGAAAGCTAAGCAGTGTTGTCTGTCTTTGGAAATAACAGACCTGCATTTCTTTATGTTCTTTCTATGCCTAGAGTATTTGATTGCATGTAAATAGAATATAGAGTAATGCCTGCAACATCGGGGCAGAATCCAACCCATCAGCAAGAGAGCCCCCCCCCGCCCCCAGTCCCCCCACATACTGCATATCCCCCACCTTTTCAGGTGTCCTGGCTGGCTGAGGTGCCCAGCTCCTGGGCAGTCTGGAATCAAATCCTAGAGACAGAAAACACATTAAAGGTCATTGAATCCAACCTCCCACCCATTGTTCAATTCCCTTCTTCTACAATCTTTCGGACGAATGGTTGTCCAGCCTACGAGTGGTACTTCCATAAGACGGAATTTGTATACTAGTTAGAGGAATTCTATTTTTCTAGTTTTAGATGAAAACAAACTCAGGTTTATAATATTAATGATGTGTAGCTAATCCTTTGTACAGAACACTAAAATGTTCTAGGTTGTAATCAGAAGACATGGGCTCTGTTGCTGGCTCTGCTGCTTAATTGCAATGTGGCCTCCAACAGGTGTCCGGGCTTGTTTGTCCTTCAGTTTCTTGTCTATAGTATAGGGAATTCTTAAAAAAAATTCTATTTTTTAAAGAATTTTCTAGTTCTAAATTCTATCATTGCTGTAATAATAGCAATGTAAATTTAGTTTCCCAGGACGTTAATGAGCTGACATTATTAAGACACGAGGAGTTTGGAGAACATGACAGACACCAGCACATTATAGGGCCATAATTTGTTATTTGGAAGTTGGCCAAAATTGCCTGAAGTGCTTTTAACATTGCTACTCACTTACCTTGGGCTAGTTCTACAACTCCTCTGGATTTGTTTCATTATCTGTGAAGCGAATGGTGAAATGAATAGCTTTAAAATGAACAGCTATGACTAATTTGAGAAAGGAAAATGTCACTAACATTTTCCTTTCTCAAACAGGTGACTTTGGCAATTGTATTAGGTAAACATTATTACCTTTGTTTTGGCATCTGACATTAGTGGCTGTGGTATGAATTTCTTAAATGAGTCACATATTAATTAGAATTTTATATCACATCTAATTATAAAACTGGATAACTAGGGTCCCAAGTTCCATTCTTACTTTCTTTTCTGAATTATCTTGTTTGTGAGTCTTAACATTTAGAAATTTTAATAATAGGGAATGAAGAAAAGTAGGCTCAAATGGGAATGGGGAGGGGTGAGAAAGGGTCACTAGAGTCACCTGACATATTTAGTGAGCTATGGAGAAAAACAGAGGTCAGCCTTTCTTTATTTGGACTTAATGAGCAAGGCCAGGAGGTGGGTGAAAGTTGCAGAGGAAAATGTAGAGTTGATACTGTGGAAAACATTCTCACGATTGGAATTGTTTGCATTTCCTGGAGACAAATGTCCAATATGGACAATGAGAGATTGTTTAGAAATGAAATGTGTAGACTCTGTAGTTTTAATCTACTTAAGAGAAATCACATGAGCCAGAAAAGCATTTCCCTCAAAGGGACAAGTATTTGGAAAAAAATCATTAAAGTCTGATTGTTGCCCTTTCATTATGATTCTAGTTCACGTCTAGCCCAGAGTGACCCTTGACGTTCTAGGTTGGACCTTCAACCAGCTACCTTCAATGAGAATGGAGGTGATGTTATTGATAAAACCATTAAGAACCAAGACTAGAAAAAACCCTATGCTATTCTATCAGGCTGACAAAGAACCATTCACCAGCACATTTTTAATACAGTTGTATTTCCAGCCACAAATCCATTACTCACACTATGTTGACCAATCCACATGTCACTATCTTGCCCACTCAGATAACTTAGGAACTTACAAAGGCTTTAGAGATACTAGGTCTACACTCTATTTCCATAATTGACTATCCGATGCAATAAATGCCCGTTGAAAGCCTATTATGTGCCAGGTAATATTAGGAAGATTTTGGCTACCTATGTGAGGGTTCTTTTGTGTTTGAGTTGGTCAATTGACTCTAAATTATTCTTTCATATAGGCCCTTCTTGCAGCTACCTTTTGATGCTAAGGAAACTTTGCTGGTCAAAGTTAAAACTGTCTCTGATAAGTATGCAAATGAAGTTATCCTCCACTCAGCAATAAGAGGTCAAGGGAGCCTAGTAGTTAGGAACTTGTGAGGATGGTCTTACAGCTAGAGCCTCAGGCCCCTCAGTGACACTGGGACTGTCAAGGGTTTGAAAGAACCTTTCTTATGTGTAAAAGTTACAGAAAGTCAGTAAGACGGGCTGTGTGGCATAGATTGTGTAAGGGGCCCCCGAAATGAGAGAAGATGACCTAAAGATAGGTTCTTCATTCCACATCACCTCCCTGTCTTGGAGGTTGGCTGACATTAAATTATGGCCCTGCCACCTGCTGCCTTCATGAAATTCCCTGAGTCTTAGTTAACCTGTCAAATGGAGCTGATAATATTTATTTCATTCATTCATTCACCCAATTTATTTACTCAACAGATGTATATTGAGAGTCAGGAATTGTTCTAGGTACAGAAGATACAAGAGTGAACAAAATGGATAAAAATGCCTGCCATCACAGAGTTTATGTCAAGTAGTGGAGTTATTTTCTAGTGGATTGTACCGTAACTACTCTTAGCAGGTATGGGATGAGCACTCTGGGAAGGCTGCTAGTATTAGTTGGTAAATGAAAGAAAACATAGTGCAAAGTGATGGAGTGCTGTACCCTTTGGGGGATGCCTGGTCATTCTGTTCCAAGTATGATTCTTCTGTTTAGACTGTTGGATGAACAGTAAAACAGGAGGACAGATGGAAGGAGTCTGAGTTGGAAACATTATATAATGCTTCTTTCAGTTGCTGAAAACACTGACTTTCATAAATAAACACTGATGAGACTAGTGAATACATTATGTAGAACTTTGAAGAAATTAAATCTGAATAGGAATTAGTCATTGAAATTGTATCAAAAGTTCCAACTGTTCTTGCCAGCCTTAACTTTAAAAATTTTTTTAATTAAAATTTTTCATTAAAAACAATTAACATTACTTTTCAAATATATGTACCTCATTTATGTAAATCAAATTCTAATATTACAGATTGCCTGCAATAAACAAAAGGAAAATTAATGCTGTAGTGTTTTGTTTTTATGAAATTTAGAATGATAGAATTTCAGAAAAATGAAGATTGTAATTCTGTATGCTAAATGATGACTTGTGTAAATCATTTGGGACTGAATTCTTGAAACTTGAAGTAAAACATGTCCTTGTGGTTTCAGAAGCATTTTTCCTCTAATGAGATAAACAGAGATATCAAAGGCAATGGGACATAAATACTTTGTCATTTTGCTCTCTGCAAAAAAAAAAAAAAGTTGGAGAATTGGTAAGAATTCATTGGGTCTGTTCTTCACTCTGCTAATGATTTATCTGTTTCCCCTGTTGCTTATTTTCCATGAAATTAATAGTCTGTACAGGACGCACCAAGTTCTACCTGACACAGAAATAGATTGATGATTTTCTTCAGCTCATTTGTAGACCAAAGTATCATTTGTGTTGGAATAATTATCTCCCAAGAGCAGATATATCTAGGAAAGCTGAAAGGCTAGCGCTGTTTCTCCTCCCGGACCCATCCGTTCAGATTTTATTCTCTGACCTTCTCTTGGACCAGAAGATGCTGCTGGCAAAAGTTTTGGGGTCCTGAGGATATCATTAAAACTTCCTTTTTCTTTTTTTATTTCTCAAGGCAAGTGGGTCTCCGAAATTGTTCTGAGCTCCATCCTATATAATTTATTCATTTTTAAGTCACGTGCATGGGCTGTACTAACACATCCATCGTAAAACATAGACAAAAGCAAATTTTGAAGGGATATGGTAATAAATAGATATAAACGGAAGTTCAACTATGTCAGCCCACATTCCAAAGGATTGCTTGTGTAGCCCTGGGGCATGTACACACTCCACTTTGAAGTCTGCTTTTCTCACTGTTCATTAGCAGAGCCAAGTTTCTCATCTGGGCAAAGGAAGAAGTGATTTTTCTCATCATGGCTGAAATTTATGGTGAGTCTCCCCGTGCGCTGTTACATCACACACATTTATCTTGCATAGGGGAGAGAAGAAGATGCATTTGGTTTCTGTATTATTTCAGACATTAGACTTAGGAATAAATGAACCCTTTTCAATTAAACAACTGCCAGCTCATACTACTTAATGATGAGATTTATAGTTTTATCCCACAGTGTTTTGAGGCTCACCATACCCAAGTGTGATATTCTGTATTCCAACACACTCTCTTGCTAACACTCCTGAAGGTTATGTTGAATAGAAATTAAGTTCTAACTTGCCACTCTCCTATCAAAAAAAGACATTTGCTTCTATTCTTTCCATCTGCACACATAAATTGCCTTTTGAAAGTAATTTATAAACACGAAAGTGGATGGTATTTTAAGTGGTTTGTGATCAAAATTACCAGAATCAATGACATTGGTACCACTATGTTTCATGGATAACATTTAGCAGGAATTGAGAGATGAGGGGTGGGGGAGAGAAGAGTTTTTGCTATGTCACAGAAAGTTCACAACCAATTATACCCGAGTTGCTGTGATTTTTTTTTTCCTTAGCTACTGATTTTTCTTCTTCAAAGCTTAAAAAGAGCCCTCAAACCCCATCAGGCAGACTGCTCATAATTGCAAGTGTTCTTGATTGCCATAGAAGATAAGCTTTTGTTGGGGGAGCATCTGGACGTTACAATTCCTTGAGGGAATAACCCAGGCTCCCAATGTCAATGCAAAGTGGGAGACCATGAGGAATGGGAACATTGAAGGAATTTAGGCAGATCATAGGGTTTTTCCAACAGTTACCAAGAATGAACTCTCCTTTCATCTTTGAGTATACCTGCTGTGCTATCTACCCCAGATGACTGATTTGTGACCCCTGCCAAGCAAATGCCACCTCGGATTGCCTGTCTCCTTATTCCCCGAGCCCACCTTTCCATGTCCACCTTATCTTTCAGGGAGATTCTGCTGTCCTTTAACACTCAATTGTGTGAACATCTGGGGCTCATTTTCTTGTATTATTTGCTGGTTACAAGAATAAAAATAATCAGATTTGGTCATCCTCCTCACTTCCCACCTTTTTGCAAAAGCAACTGGTGAAATGGAAGGAAATAGTTGAAAACAACCAAACTGGAGGATTGGCAAATAATACAAACAGCAAATATGTCTATTTTGTAGTAAAATATTAGCTCAGTATTTGAGGGAGCAATTCAGATAAGATAATTTTAATTATGTAGAGCTACTTTAGGTTTAAAAAAATGGCATCATCTGGGGGGAGGGGGGTTGTCACTTTGAGGGGTAAAAATGTATAACTATTGCACTGTGTTGTACACCTGAAACTAACTTAAAAAAATAAACATAAAATAAATAAAATCACACACACAAAATTGCATTTTCTACAGTTACTATTTTTAAAAAGCACCACCCCATTGATATTGTTGAAAGCTTTCCACAACTGGTTGTAGAGATTTTTATCAAAATAAAGAGGCTTGTAAATGTGGACTTTATCTTCAAAACCTGGTAAAATTCATAACAGCTTATTTTTTTTGCTCTCTTATAGTATTTCCCTGTGGTTAAAAGTGATGGCAATGATTCATCTGTTTTATTTCAAAGTTTTAACTGAAAGGAAGTAACTGAACTTCTTGGAGCATGAGAGAGCCGGCATGAGGCTGACAGCCTTTGTTTGCTGCAGAGTGACTGGGGAAACTACATGCTGTACTCCATCTTCCTTGTAACTCAGCCAGATAAGCTGATTGCAGACCAAACAAAAATGTCATGGGGACACCCATCAGGGAATGCATTAGCAAGTGGGGAAAAAAGGGGAACAATATGAACCATATTTTAATTCCTGTTATATTGAATTACTGACGACACAATGAATTCTTTTCTATACCTTGCTGGATGTCCCCAGTGTTTAGATTTTTTAATATTTTGTTGATTGGT